GTATAATACATAAGGGGGGGTATGATCTCCATGTATAATACATAAGGGGGGATATGATCTCCATGTATAATACATAAGGGGGGATATGATCACCATGTATAATACATAAGGGGGGATATGATCTCCATGTATAATACATAAGGGGGGATATGATCTCCATGTATAATACATAAGGGGGGATATGATCTCCATGTATAATACATAAGGGGGGATATGATCTCCATGTATAATACATAAGGGGGGGATATGATCTCCATGTATAATACATAAGGGGGATATGATCTCCATGTATAATACATAAGGGGGGGGATATGATCTCCATGTATAATACATAAGGGGGGATATGATCACCATGTATAATACATAAGGGGGGGATATGATCTCCATGTATAATACATAAGGGGGGGATATGATCTCCATGTATAATACATAAGGGGGGATATGATCTCCATGTATAATACATAAGGGGGGATATGATCTCCATGTATAATACATAAGGGGGGATATGATCTCCATGTATAATACATAAGGGGGGATATGATCTCCATGTATAATACATAAGGGGGATATGATCACCATGTATAATACATAAGGGGGGGGATATGATCTCCATGTATAATACATAAGGGGGGATATGATCACCATGTATAATACATAAGGGGGGGATATGATCTCCATGTATAATACATAAGGGGGGATATGATCTCCATGTATAATACATAAGGGGGGATATGATCTCCATGTATAATACATAAGGGGGATATGATCTCCATGTATAATACATAAGGGGGGATATGATCACCATATATAATACATAAGGGGGATATGATCACCATGTATAATACATAAGGGAGGGATATGATCACCATGTATAATACATAAGGGGGGATATGATCACCATGTATAATACATAAGGGGGGGTATGATCACCATGTATAATACATAAGGGGGGGATATGATCTCCATGTATAAATACATCCATGGTTCATATAGTGAACTCGGTGTAGAGTTATTCCCCCTGAGGTCATCACAGAGAACAAGGGGGCGCTCTTTACGTCTGGAGGAAATGAAATGTAATCTCCAAAACATGGAAAGGTTTCTCCACAGTAAGAGCTGTGAGAATGTAGAATAGACTCCCTCAAGAGTTGGTTGTGACCAGCTCAGTGGATTGCTGTAGGAAAGTCCTGGATTCTTTCTTGGATACACAGAATATAACTGGATATAACATTTATAGGGAAAGTTGATCCAAGGAATATCCGATTGCCTCTCGGGGGATCAGGAAGGAATTTTTCCCCAGCAGGAGCAAATTGGATCGTGCTTTGCTGGGTTTTTTTTGCCTTCCTCTGGATCAACTGTGGGTGTAGGATTATAACTTTTTTGAACTGGATGGACTTTTGTCTTTTTTCAGCCAGACTAACTATGTAACTATATGTAGGCTTTCACCCAGGGGCGGACTGACAACTCATGGGGCCCCCGGGCAATAGGGGATCATGGGGCCCCTGTGTCCTTGCTTAAACTCAAAAAAGCCTATGAAAAAGGTACCAGGGGCATCTCATGGGCCCCCTACTGACCCTGGGACCTTTGGCAGTGCCCGAGTTTCCAAATGGTCTGTCCGCCCCTGCTTTCACCATTCTGTTTTATGACATGGAGGCAGCAAAATAGTTAATATAGTGGTGATACACAAGGAAAGAAGGGAGAAATAAATATAGAGCCATTTATCCAACTGTCCATCCAGAGCCTCTGGTTTATAGATCAGCCACATTCTTTAATACAGAGCCATTAATCCAAAATCCAATACAAAATTGTCTCGGCATGCATACCAGCTAGAGAATAAAAAATTGCTTAGTTGTTTCAACAATTTATATTACACAGTAAGGCATGCTGATAGACATGTCTTTCCATTGCATATCCTAAAAATAGGAGGATTGTTCCTCGTTTCAGTATAGTATAGATGTCCCCCCTGCAGTGTCCCCGGCCATCCCCTCCTTCCGATGCCGGCATCCGTCTTCCAGGTTCCGTCCCCTGCGATGTCGGGACATACGGGGTACGGAACGGCGGGAAATTCAAAAATTTTAAAAGTGACATTCACTAAAATCACTAAAATCACATAGTATAACATTCCTGTATCAAACCATTTCACATACATTTTGTCCCGAGTGCTTTGTCCGGCGCCTTGCCTGCATTTTTACTGTTCTTTCTGCCTGGAAACTGAGAAACGTCCATGGCGTCCAAAAAGCGTCCCTTTAGGTCAAAAGCGGTTTTAGACCGGCTAGAGAACAGCGATAGTAAATCAGAACCACTTGCAGAATTGAGTGATAATGATTCGTGGGGGAAATTCATCATCAGACACTGAAAACGATTCTGCGACTGAGCTCAGCGATGTGCGAACTTGGCGCTCTATTTCAAATTTCAGTGTTTTTGGTTTGATTATATTATTGAATTAAATGTATTATTATTATATTATTCCTCCTGTACTGAAATGTATTGTAATTGTACTGTCTCCCTTATATTGTAAAGCGCTTCGCAAACTGTTGGCGCTATATACAGTGGGGCAAAAAAGTATTTAGTCAGCCACCAATTGTGCAAGTTCTCCCACTTAAAAAGATGAGAGAGGCCTGTAATTGGCATCATAGGTAGACCTCAACTATGAGAGACAAAATGAGAAAAAAAATCCAGACAATCACATTGGCTAATTTGGAAAGAATTTATTTGTAAATTATGGTGAAAAATAAGTATTTGGTCAATATCAAAAGTTTACTTTACAAAAATACTTTGTTATATATCCTTTGTTGGCAATGATAGAGGTCAAACGTTTCCTGTAAGTCTTCACAAGGTTGGCACACACTGTTGCTGGTATGTTGGCCCATCCTCCATGCAGATCTCCTCCTCCATGCAGATCTCCTCTAGAGCAGTGATGTTTTGGGGCTGTCGCTGGGCAACACGGACTTTCAACTCCCTCCAAAGGTTTTCTATGGGGTTGAGATCTGGAGACTGGCTAGGTCACTCCAGGACCTTGAAATGCTTCTTACAAATCCACTCTTTCGTTGCCCGGGCGGTATGTTTGGGATCATTGTCATGTTGGAAGACCCAGCCACGTTTCATCTTCAATGCCCTTGCTGATGGAAGGAGGTTTGCACTCAAAATCTCACGATACATGGCCCCATTCATTCTGTCCTGTACATAGATCAGTCGTCCTGGTCCCTTTGTGGAGAAACAGCCCCAAAGCATGATGTTGCCACCCCCATGCTTCACAGTAGGTATGGTGTTCTTTGGATGCAACTCAGCATTCTCTCTCCTCCAAACATGACGAGTTGTGTTGCTACCAAACAGTTCTATTTTGGTTTCATCTGACCATATGACATTCTCCCAATCCTCTTCTGGATCATCCAAATGCTCTCTAGCAAACTTCAGACGGGCCCGGACATGTACTGGCTTAAGCAGGGGGACACGTCTGGCACTGCAGGATCTGAGTCCCTGGCGGCGTAGTGTGTTACTGATGGTATCCTTTGCTACGTTGGTCCCAGCTCTCTGCAGGTCGTTCAGTAGGTCCCCCCGTGTGGTCCTGGGATTTTTGCTCACCGTTCATGTGATCATTTTGACCCCACGGGGTGAGATCTTGCGTGGAGCCCCAGATTATCAGTGGTCTTGTATGTCTTCCATTTTCTAATTATTGCTCCCACAGTTGATTTGTTCACACCAAGCTGCTTGCCTATTGCAGATTCCGTCTTCCCAGCCTGGTGCAGGTCTACAATTTTGTTTCTGGTGTCCTTCAACAGCTCTTTGGTCTTCACCATAGTGGAGTTTGGAGTGTGACTGTTTGAGGTTGTGGACAGGTGTCTTTTATACTGATAACAAGTTCAAACAGGTGCCATTGATACAAGTAATAAGTGCAGGACAGAGCAGCTTCTTAAAGAAGAAGGTACAGGTCTGTGAGAGCCAGAAATCTTGATTGTTTGTAGGTGACCAAATACTTATTTTCCACCATAATTTGCAAATAAATTCTTTCCAAATCACCCAATGTGATTGTCTGGATTTGTTTTCTCATTTTGTCTCTCATAGTTGAGGTCTACCTATGATGCCAATTACAGGCCTCTCTCAACTTTTTAAGTGGGAGAACTTGCACAATTGGTGGATGACTAAATACTTTTTTGCCTCACTGTAAATCCTGTATAATAATAATAATTATTATTATACAGTATTTATAAAGCGCCAACAGTTCTCTCAGCGCTGTACATTACAATGAGAGACAGAACATGCAACAGTACAATAACAATACAATGCGATACACGAGGGGTTCGAGGGCCCTGCTCCTTGGAGCTTACAATCTAGGAGGGAGGGGATGGTGGTACAGGAGGAGATAGCTGTGGGGGATGGAGTGGTTGGAAGAGTGGAGGAGGTCGGCAATTAGCAGGGGGTGGGGTAGGCTTCCCTGAAGAGATGGGTTTTCAGGGTGCGCCTAAAGGAGAGGAGAGTAGGTGATAGTCTGATGGATTGGGGTAGGGAATTCCAGAGGATGGGTGATGCCCTGGAGAAGTCCTGGAGGCAGGCATGGGAGGAGGAGATCAGGGAACTTGAGAGAAAGAGGTCTTGTGATGAGCGGAGAGTGCGTTTTGGGTGGTATTTGGATTGGGGTAGGGAGTTATTATTATTATTATTATAATTTTTTATGATTATTAATTATATTATAATTTATGATTTCGGGTTTCAAATTTTATCATACCCGGGATGTTTACTAGACTCTTGTTCGGACAGATTTCAGTGAGTTAAAAATGACAGGCTTACAATAAAAAAATGACATATTTCTATGCAAAAAAGATGTACCGCTTTGAGCACAGAAATACTGACATCAGACCGCTAAGGAGGTTAAATTCATGTGCGTGGAAAGGCAGTCGTCCCAATACTTTTGGCAATAAAGTGTACAAAGTAGACTACAAAGAGAAAAGATTGCAACAGGAAAGTTTACAAAGTACAGTAACTGAATTGTTATGTAAAAACCTTACCGCATACGATGACCAGCAGGATTATCAGCAGCCACACGTTCATATTACAGACCTCTCCAAACACCCCGGTCCTCTCTGGCAGGTGTGGTAAATCAGGCTTCTAAAAGTTCTCTACAAGACGCAAGCTCTTCCGTCGCGCCTCCCATCCACAATCAGGTGACAATGAGTCAGAGTTTTGTATACCAGTATACTCAGCCCTTGCACTGCCTGAACTGTTTTTCTTTCACACACGCTAGAATGCTAATTTTTTTTTTTTACACCAAAACACAATGAAATCCCATCCAAAAATTATACGTTTTCTGAAAGCAGAAGACACACAGAATAAAAAGATGTTTGTTGCAATTTTTTATGTTGAATAATATTAGCACAACTGCTTATCAAGTCTATATTTTCAGTAAAACAAAAAAGAAGATAGATGCCGAATATGTCAGGATGTAAGATTGCATCTGACCCAGGGGCGGACTGACCATTTGGAAACTCGGGCACTGCCCAAGGGCCCGGGGTCAGTAGGGGGCCCCATGAGATGCCCCTGGTACCTTTTTCATAGGCTTTTTTGAGTTTGGGCAAGGACACAGGGGCCCCATGATCCCCTATTGCCCGGGGGCCCCATGAGTTGTCAGTCCGCCCCTGATTGCACCATCAAACTACGACACCCAACATTATCCATTGGAGAGGTTTTAAAACCTTTTACAGCTTACCTAATGAGAGTTAACTGTAAATAATGACCCTTGAATCAGAGGCGTCCCTAGGGTTGGTGTCACCCGATGCGGGGTAACACGTGGTGACACCCCCTCTGACGATCGCCGCAGGATGGATCGGATCTGCGGATTGAGCATAATGGATAGGACTCCGATCCATTATACTCCCCAATCCGCAGATCCCATCCATCCTGCGGAGATTGTCAGCTTTCTTTACAACTTACCTTTTTTCGTGGAGCGGGTCCGGTGTCATCCCGTATAGGTTGCATGCCGACGTTCCCCGCAGGATGGATCGGATCTGTGGATTGAGCATAATGGATAGGAGTCCGATCCATTATGCTCCCCAATCCGCAGATCCGATCCATCCTGCCGAGATCGTCAGCTTTCTTTACAACTTACCTTTTCGTGGAGCGGGTCCGGTGTCACCCCGTATAGGTTGCATGCCGACGTTCCCCGCAGAATGGCTCGGATCTGCAAACTGGGGAGCATAATGGTTTGGACTCCTATCCATTATGCTCAATCCGCAGATCCGATCCATCCTGTGGGGAACTTCGGCATGCAACCTATATGGGGTAAAATGTAGAACATATATATATATGATAAAAAGCTCATAAATAGTAAAAGAGCTCCGTGTGACTTCGCATATCTCAGTGCATCTCTCCTTTAAAGGATATGTGAGGAGCAAGGTAATAGGTAAAGTGCGCACTCACCGGATGCGCAATGGTTATGCGCAGTGTATAGTATAATGGAGTTCTGTCAATGGGTCCCTCTCAGCATAGGAATGGAATCGACCCGGGGGTGCGCACATGCAGGTAGAGTGGGAGGACGTCCCCCCAGAACGTCTGTCCATCATTTCCTTATATGGCGGATAAAGTGCACTTTATAAAGAGTTTTGAACAGATAAGACTTTTTTTTTTTTTTTACTTTTTTCTGACCTCCGGAACGGATGAATTGGTTTTCAATGCATTCCTATGGGAAACCGCGTTTCGGTTTACGAATTTTTCACAATATGAAAAGTCCCGCAGAACGCATTAAATTCGTAAACCGAGGTACGGCCGTATGTGTTGCAAAGTTGTTGTTTGTGTACTAATGTGCTCCGTGTGTAATGTGCTGTCTGCAGCTTCAGGCATCACCCCAATATCATTATTTAGAGGTACCGGGGTGATAGGCGCAGGATAAGGAGCAGGAGAGGACTCCCCCCCTCCCCCCACCACTCGTGTCTATAGTCCTCCTCCCAGAACCCTGCCCCCTGTACACCCCCGGGGTGATGATGTCCTTTTGGACACAACTGATCTAATGCAGGCCATAGACGGGTCGAAAATCGGCCGATCAAGCGGCCGACGTTACCAGCAACGGTAAAAAAAAATCAGCCGATTTTCATCCCGTCTACAGCCGGCAAATAGTGTCCCTGCAGAGAGCTCCGCTATTTCTTTGACAGTTCTTTGACATTTATAGCAGCTGCAACATTGTATCTATTTGTATCCATTTAGGATACAGATGTTTTTATTCAGAAACAAATAGATACAATGTTGCAGCTGCTATAAATGTCAAAGAACTGTCAAAGAAATAGCGGAGCTCTCTGCAGGGACACTTTTTGCCGGACTAAAAAATTCCTCTTCTTCTTCATCCTCATCTTCTTCATCCTCTTCTTCTTCTTCTTCATGCTCTTCTTCTTCTTCTTCATGCTCTTCTTCTTCATCCTCTTCTTCTTCTTCATACTCTTCATCTTCTTCTTGTTCATCCTCTTCTTCTTCTTCTTCTTCTTCATACTCTTCATCTTCTTCTTGTTCATCCTCTTCTTCTTCTTCATACTCTTCATCTTCTTCTTGTTCATCCTACTCTTCTTCTTCCTTTTCATCCTCTTCTTCATCCTCTTCTTCATCTTCCTCTTCTTCATCCTCTTCTTCATCTTCCTCTTCTTCTTCATCCTCTTCTTCTTCTTCATCCTCTTCTTCTTCTTCATCCTCTTCTTCTTCTTCATCCTCTTCTTCTTCTTCTTCATCCTCTTCTTCTTCTTCATCCTCTTCTTCTTCTTCTTCTTCTTCATCCTCTTCTTCATCCTCTTCCTCTTCTTCTTCTTCCTCTTCTTCTTCATCCTCTTCCTCTTCTTCTTCATCCTCTTCTTCTTTTTTCTTCTTTTTGTCTTCCTCTTGCAGGTCACTGCTCATGCGCAGATTTTTTTATCGGTAAAAGATCGGCCGATTTGCCCATCATTGCCGCAAAAATCGGCCGATCGGCAAAATCGGACGATTTTTTTCCAGCTTTACTGATAAAAAAAATCTGCCAAAATACCGAAAAACCGGCCGAACAACATTTAGCCCACTAACAATCCAAAAAATCGGCCGATTTTATTTTCGGCCGAAAAATCGGCCGATTTTCGACTTATCTATGGCCTGCATAAGACTGAGGTAAAGGGACAATCACAGCGACCGTTTACCATGTGATCAGCTGTTCCCAATCACATGTAAACAGACTTGCCAGTTATCGGGCAGTGACTGCAGAGCTCAATCTCAGTCTTCACAGGGCTGAGATTGAGCTCTGCAATCACTTTTGCAGCAGTTGTTTTCTTATTCCGGGTCACAATCCTGCGGATGTCCTTTTGTCTCTTTCGGTCAGCTGACCATGTCGACTGCGCTTATTAAATGTTTTTCCCTGAAACTGTACACGCCATCATAACCTTTAATACTGCACCTCGCGACACGGCAAATACATTGGTGACTTCAGTCACAGAGACACCAGCTAAGCGGCACCAACAATTTGCCCTCTTTGAAGCTCAGTAATCTTGGACATGACTCCTTATTACTAGCAGCGCATGCAGTGAATGATGAAAGTGAGGCTTCCCACCTGTTTAGTGAGGTGTCTCATCACACAGCGGAAGCAAAAGAAGATTACATCACTTCTGCTTTCAACACCAAACGTGTTGTCACTTTCACACCTGCAAACCATGTTATTTTTTGGTCTAACCCCCTGTGATTGGGATATTTTAATTTATTCACGTGTGAGCTTTTTGTAAAATCACGAATTATAGAGCAGCGCTACACACCCAGTTATTAATATATTATACACATCCGGATGTGGGAACACATAGTAGGTGGTAGCAGCAGCATTAAGAAGCACTATAGGGGACAGTGTGGGTAGTGCACCGGGCTTTTGACATTATTTATTACCCTCCAGAGGATTTCCCGCCCCCCCCCCCCCCCCTTCCTGACCAGGCCATTTTGCGATACGGCACTGCGGTACTTTAACTGACAATTGCACATGCAACACTGCACCCCAATGAAATTTACGTCCTTTTTTCCCCACAAATAGAGCTTTCTTTTCCAGTGGTATTTGATCACCTCTGCGGTTTTATTTTTTGCACTATAAACACAATAAAAGACCGACAATTGAGGAAAAAAAACTATATTTTTGACTTTTTGCTGTTAAACATGTTCAGTAAAATTTTTTATTTTTAAATATCAAATTTCGTCATAAATTAAGACCAAAATGTATTCTGCTCCATGTCTTTGCTAAACAAAAATTCCCAATACGTGTAAATTAATTGCTTTACGTGAAAGCTATAGCATTTACAAATGGCGGGTATATATACTGGAATTTTTTTTTTTTACTAGTAATGGCGGTGATCAGCGACTTATAGTGGGACTGCGACGGACATTCTGACAATGGGGGGGAACTGATTTGGTGTCACTGACATCCCCAGTGACACCAATACAGCGATCAGTGCTAATAAAAAGCACTGACACTAATGGCACTGGGCAAGAAGGGGTTAACATCTGGGGCGATCAAAGGGTTAACAGTGTGCTGTTTCACATTATGTGCTGTCTGTGTGCTTTACACTGTAAACACACTGCTTTGTATGGCTCTGCTACGCAGAGCCATACAAACCAGTGTGCAGGAGCTGACAGGGGAGAGATCTGAGTTATTTATACACAGACCTCTCCCCCATCGGTAATATATTATTATTATTATTATTATACAGTATTTATATAGCGCCAAAGGGTTTGCTCAGCGCTGTACAGTAGCAAGGGGGACAGAACATGAGACAAGACAGTAACAATACAATACATGAGGGGATCGAGGGCCCTGCTCTTTCGAGCTTACAATCTAGGAGGGAGGGGAAGGTGGTACAGGAGGAGATGGCTGTGGGGGATGGAGTGGTGGGAGGAGTGGAGGAGGTTAGTTGTTAAGTGAGGTCGGGTGTTAGGTGAGATTGGGGTAGGCTTCCCTGAAGAGGAGGGTTTTCAGGGTGCGCCTGAAGGTGAGGAGGGTAGGTGACAGTCTGATGGATTGGGGTAGGGAGTTCCAGAGGATGGGGGAAGTCCTGGAGAAGATCGGGGATCACTGGGTCCTGGCAGGGAATCACTGTCCA